AGCCAGGGGTCTAATAGTAATCTCCCTTATGTGTGCTGGGAGGCAGTTGAACAGTCTTGGGCCCCTGACACTTATTGTGTTGTCTCTTAACGTGCTAGTGACACCCGTGTTTTTCATGGGGGGGATGGTGCATCGTCTGCCGAGTCTTTTGCTTTTGTAGTGAATGATTTTCGTGTGCAAGTTCGGTACTAGTCCCTCTAGGATTTTCCAGGTGAATATAATCATGTATCTCTCCCTCCTGCATTCCAGGGAGTATAGGTTCAGGAACTTCAAGTGCTCCCAGTAATTGAGGTGTTTTATCTCCTTTATGCATGCCATGAAGGTTCTCTGTACATTTTCTAGGTCAGCAATTTCACCTGCCTTTAAAGGTGCTGTTAGTGTGCAGCAATATTCCAGCCTAGATACAGCAAGTGGTATGAAGTGTGTCATCATGGGCGTGGCATCCCTAGTTTTGTAGTTCTCATTATCCATCCTGTTATTTTTATAGCAGATGCCACTGATACAAAGTTGTGGTCCTTGAAGGTGAGATCCTCCGACATAATCACTCCCAGGTCTTTGACGTTAGTTTTTCACTCCATTTTGTGGCTGGAATTTGTTTCATAATCTGATGAAGTTTTAATTCCCTCATGTTTACCATATCGGAGTAATTGAAATTTCTCATCATTGAACTTCATATTGCTTTGTGCAGCCCATTGAAAGATTTGGTTGATGTCCGCCTGGAGCCTTGCAGTGTCTGCAGTGGAAGACACTGTCATGCAGATTTGGGTCTCGTATACAATAAAATACAAAGTGCTGTGGCTGACATCCTTGCCTGTGTTAGATATATGGATGAGAAACAAGATGGGAACAGAGCTTTTCATCTTTTCATCGTAGCCGCCTCAGACTTTACTCTGTTGACTACTACTCTTTGTGTTCTGTTTGTGAGGAAATTATAGATCCATCTACCAACTTTTCCTGTTATTCCTTTAACATGCATTTTGCGCGTTATCACACTTGTTGAAGGTTTTTTTGCAAAGTCTGTGTATATTACATCTGCATTTTTTGTCTTCTAGTGCATCTAGGTCCTTGTCGTATTGATCCAGTAGTTGGGATAGACAGGAGCGACCTGCTCTAAACCCATGTTTTCCTGGGTTGTGTAACTGATGGGTATCTAGATGGGTGGCAATCTTGCTTCTTAGGGCCCTTTCAAAGATTTTTATGACATGGGATGTTAGTGCTATCGGTCTGTAGTTCTTTGCTATTGCTTTACTGCCCCCTTTGTGGAGTGGGGCTATGTCTGTTTTTTAGTAACTGTGGGACGACCCCAGTGTCCATGCTCCCTCTCCATAGGATGTTAAAAGCATGTGATAGTGGCTTCTTGCAGTTCTTGATGAACACAGAGTTCCACGAGTCTGGCCCTGGGGCAGAGTGCATGGGCATGTCATTTATCGCCTGTTCGAAGTCATTTGGCGTCATGATAACATCAGATAGTCTTGTATTTACCAAATTCTGTGGCTCTCTCATAAAAATTCATTTAGATGTTCGACTCTGTCTGGTTAGCGGCTTACTAAACTGAGTCATATTGGGACCTGACTAGCTCACTCATTTCCTTGCTGTCATCTGTGCAGGACCCATCTGACCCATCTGTTTAAGTAGGGGCCTAATACTGGATGTTGTTCTCGACTTTGATTTGGCATAAGAAAAGAACTTCTTTGGGTTTCTTTCAATTTCATTTATGGCTTTTATTTCTTCCCGCAATTCCTGACTCCTATAAGATTCCTTTAGCTTAAGTTTGACATTTGCTATTTCTCTGACCAGTGTCTCCCTACGCATTTCAGATATATTGGCCTCTTTTAGCAGCTCTGTTATTCTTTCTTGTCGCCTGTGAAGGGAGCACCTGTCTCTATCTATTTGAGATCTATTCCTCCTTTTTCTTAAAGGAATATGCCTTGAGCATACATCGAGTGCCACAGAGTTTATCTGTTCTAGGCATAAGTTGGAGTCTCTGTTGCTTAGTCAATCTTCCCTGCTTATATCGTTTAGGACTTGGTTTACTTGATCCCACTTTATGTTCTTGTTATTGAAGTTGAATTTGGTGAATGTTCCCTCGTGACTGATCTCATTTTGTCGTTCTGGCATGCATGTCTGAACCTTGATTATGTTGTGATCCTGTGATCCGAGTATATTGTTTTTGATATGGTGACATTACGTATCAGATCGTCGTTGTTAGAGTGAAGATGAGGTCCAATGTATTCTCCAGTCTAGTTGGCTATTTGCTGGTTTAAGTTGAATTTTGTGCCTATATAACAACAGGAAAATGCAAACTCCCTTCCTGTAAGCTTTTTCACCCTGAAATGTGTCCCTCTTCAGTACAGGAAAGACAGTGCTATAACTAAAACTGCCAGGCACACCATCTAAAGAGGACAAAAAGATACAAAACATCCAGACCTTGGGAAAACCTAGGTAGCCACAGCCACTCAAGAGGGAGAGGTTTTTTTTAGTGCCAGTAAGAAAAAAAAAAAAAACTGGCAGGAAATGGCAGAAATCGTACACCAAATCCAGTCATTACTGGAGTGGAATCACAGTCGATGGCCTCCACTCCAAACCAACAGATACAGATATTAGTGTCGGATAAAAAAAAAGTTCCCACCAGTACCACCAATCCATGACATTCTTCTTTGCAAATATACAGGGTCTAAAGCCAGCAACAAACAACAAAATACCTTTCATCTGTGGACTGCTTGCAGAGGCAAATGCAATTTTCACAGCTTTAACAGAGACCCACATCAAGGATCACTTGGACAATGAATTATGGATCCCAGGTTACAACCTATACAGATGATTATCAAATGGTATACAATACCGACAGGTTGGTAGATAAGACACATAGACAACATTAGGCAACTTTATTCCGAAACGTTTCGCCTACACAGTAGGCTTCTTCGGTCGAGTACAGAAAGTAGGCAGGAGCAGTAGAGATGTAAAGATGATGTAATCAGTCCATCACCCTTGAAGTCGTAGATTTGAGGCTATCAGTCCCTCAGCCTGGAGAAGTTCTGTTCCAAAGTCTGGAACTAACTGAAGATCAAGCGGCAGTGTTGAGACTTAAATACTGTCGGAAGGAGAGGTGCAGAGTAGTAGTAGTGAGAATGTAGCCACTGAGAGGTCATGTCCCTCTCAGCTCAAACAATTCTCACTTGAAAAAGTTGTCAAAAGTGTTTTCTTTTCTGTACCAAGATGCCATTGTGTTGCAGTGTCTGACAGAGTGATTATCAAATGATATACAATACCGACAGGTTGGTAGATAAGACACATAGGCAACATTAGGCAACTTTATTCCGAAACGTTTTGCCTACACTACAACGACTTCAAGGGTGATGGACTGATTACATCGTCATCACATCTCTACTGCTCCTGCCTACTTTCTGTACTCGACTGAAGAAGCCTACTGTGTAGGCGAAACGTTTCAGAATAAAGTTGCCTAATGTTGCCTATGTGTCTTATCTACCAACCTATACAGATGCCACAGAGTGGACAGGCAAAAAGGGGGGGGGGGGAGTTGGCCTGTACATCGCAGAGTCCTTATTTGCACAGAACTGTTTAATGCTTCAAATGATGTAATGGAAGTTTTAGCAGTAAAGATCGAGAACCAAAACCTAGTCATTGTGGTAGTCTACAAGCCTCCAGATGCAACATCCCAACAATTCCAGGAACAGCTGCTGAAAATTGACCACTGTCTGGAAAATCTTCCAGCTCCTGCCCCCAACATCATGCTCTTGGGGGATTTCAACTTAAGGCACCTAAAATGGAGGAATATAGCAAATAATGTTATTGCAGTGATAACACCAGGAGGCAGCTTAGACGAAAATTCACACACACACACACACACACACACTCACACATACACACACATACACACACATATCCCCCCAATGAAAAGCAGGGGTGCCACTAGCACGATAACAGACAACACTGTAAGTGTCAGGAGCCAAAGGCTGCTCAGCTGCCTCCCAGTATACATCAGGGGGATTACCAATAGACCCCTGGCTGTTTTCAAGCAGGCACTGGACAGGCACCTAAAGTCAGTACCTGACTAGCCGGGCTGAGGTAAGAAGTTGGATTACTTGCGACCAGCGGTAACAGCCTGGTTGATGAGGTCCTGTCCACCATGAGGCCTGGTCACAGACCAGGCCGTGGGGGCATTGACCCCCAGAACTCTCTCCTGGTATTACTGCTTTTTGTATTATGTTTCATATCTGTGGATATGAAGATGCTATTTGTTAGCCATGGGCTACCTAGTCTCTTTGCAGTGATGTGTTGTGTGTCATTGGTAAATTCTGTCCTCAAGTCAATGTAACTTACTGTTTGCTGTAATGAAGGTATGTATTGATGTCTTGTCATGGAGGCAGAATGAGATCTTGCTAGACTCTAGTAGTAGTTGACTTATATTGGTTATGAGAAATGATTATCCCTGTTTCGAGAGGAGCAAGTAAAGTGATTTAATGAGAATTTTTACTGGCTCAACATTTTTTTGTTTTGAATGTTCTAGTTATGGATTCTGTCATTTTCCTTGCAAATACAAGAACATTGTTGTGATCCTGAGATATATTATCATTTGACTTTGTCACTACAAAATCTTTACAACTGAACCTCTGCTCTATTGCAACATTAAGCATTTTTATACTATGTTTCATCTTTAGTTCCTCAAATTTTTTCCTTGCATAAGAACTGATTTTTTTTCTCTTTGAACTACATTGTTGTTCACGGCTCAATGGGCCACAAACAACAATGATTTGGGAATGAATCTCCAATTATAACATTGAATCTGCACTCATAAAAATATCGTTATCCCAACTCATCTGCCAACTACCTTTAATCATTGTTTATTCACCCACCCTTACCTAAGTACTGAACTACCACCAGTCTGATCACTTTATGATTCCAGTTAGTCAATATTATTACCATATTATAATAGGCACAACTGTTTCAGTATAGCAATACCTTTTTATATTTTTTACCAGATGAACTGGATGATCCATTTGATTACACTACCATCGAGATCCCAACAGTGGTGGGTCTCTTAAGAAATATTCTTGTCCAGTATCCTGATAATGGTCAGATAATCAAGGTAAGAAAATTAACTAGAAATTACCTTCTTGTAGTGTATAACTTACAAATAATCTCTCATGTTAAGGGGTTATATTAATAGTTTCTGCCACAAAAAATGAACATGACTTAAATATATTTGTGTTAACATATCTTTCTCTGCCTCATAAACACGCTGGGTAACAGGTATATCTTGCTACTTCTACTTACACTTAGGTCACACTACACAGGCATCCACATGACTATTTATATATACATAAACACATCTAGGTTTTTCTTCTTTTTTTTAATAGCTCCTATTTTTCTTTATTTTCTCTATTTTCCATGGGGAGTGGAAATGAATCTTTTCTCCGTAAGCCATGCGTGTCGTACGATTAAAATGCCCGGAGCAATGGGCTAGTAACCCCTTCTCTTGTATACATTACTAAAAAAAGAGAAGAAAAACTTAATAAAACTGGAATGCTTGAATGTTCGTTCATGGATGTAGAGTGGATGATAAGAAAGAGATGATTGCTGATGTTAGGAATGAAAAGAAGTTGGATGTCCTGGCCCTAAGCAAAAAGCTGAAGGGGTAGGCGAGTTTCATTGTGGAGGAATAATTGGGATTAGTTATAGCTAAGGAAGGGGTAGCAATAATGTTGAGGGATCAGTTATGGAAGGAGAAGAGGGAATATAAATGTATAAATTCAAGGATTATGTGGATTAAAATAAGAGTCGGATGCAAAAAGTGGGTCATAATAAGCGTGTATGCACCTGGAGAAGAGAAGAGTGTAGAGGAGAGAGAGAGAGAGAGAGAGAGAGAGAGAGATTTTGGGAGATGTTAAACAAATGTGTAGGAACTTTTGAACCAAGTGAGAGAGTAATTGTGGTAGGGGACATAAATGCTAAAGTAGGAGAAACATTTAGAGATGGTGTGGTAGGTAAGTTTGGGGTGCCAGGTGTAAATGATAATGGGAGCCCTTTGATTGAACTTTGTATAGAAAGGGGTTTAGTTATAGGTAATACATATTTTAAGAAAAAGAGGATAATTAAGTATGCAGGATATGATGTAGGGTGTAATGACAGTAGTTTGTTGGAATACATATTGGTAGATAAAAGACTGTTGAGTAGACTTCAGAATGTACATGTGTATAGAGGGGACACAGATATATCAGATCACTTTTCAGCTGTAGCTACAGTGAGAGTAAAAGGTAAATGGGATACAAGGAAAATAGAAACAGCAAGTAAGATAGAGGTGAAGGTTTACAAACTAAAAGAGGAGGCAGTTAGGGTAAGGTATGTACAACTATTGGAGGATAGATGGGCTAGTGAGACTATAGGCAATGGGGTCAAAGATGTATTGGGTAGGTTTAAGAATGTAATGTTAGAGTGTTCAGCAGAAGTTTGTGGTTACAGGAAAGCGGGTGCAGGAGGGAAGAAAAGTGATTGTTGGAATGATGATGTAAAGTGAGTAGTAAGAGAGAAAAAAGTCAGGATTACAAAACTATTATCCAGAGGGCTGAGGAGGGGTTGTTAAGGTGGTTCAGACATGCAGAGAAGACAGAACAAAATAGAATGACTTCGAGAGTGTATAAATCTGTAGTGGAGGGGGGGCGGGGTAGGGGTCGGCCTAGGAAAAGTTGGAGGAAGGGGGTAAAGGAGGTTTGGTGTGTTAGGGGCTTAGACTTCCAGTAAGCATGGGTGAGTGTATTTGATAGGAGTAAATGGAGACAAGTAGACAAGTAGAATGACATGGAAAGCATATAAATCTATAGGGGAAGGAAGGCGGGGTAGGGGTCGTCCTCGATAGGGTTGGAGAGAGGGGGTAAAGGAGGTTTTGTGGGTAAGGGGCTTGGACTTCCAGCAAGCGTGCGTGAGCGTGTTAGATAGGAGTGAATGGAGACGAATGGTACTTGGGACCTGACGATCTGTTGGAGTGTGAGCAGGGTAATATTTAGTGAAGGGATTCAGGGAAACCGGTTATTTTCATATAGTCGGACTTGAGTCCTGGAAATGGGAAGTACAATGCCTGCACTTTAAAGGAGGGGTTTGGGATATTGGCAGTTTGGAGGGATATGTTGTGTATCTTTATATGTGTATGCTTCTAGACTGTTGTATTCTGAGCACCTCTGCAAAAACAGTGATAATGTGCGAGTGTGGTGAAAGTGTTGAATGATGATGAAAGTATTTTCTTTTTGGGGATTTTCTTTCTTTTTTGGGTCACCCTGCCTCGGTGGGAGACGGCCGCCTTGTTGAAAAAAAAAAAAAAAAAAAAAAAAATGGAGACAAATGATTTTTAGAACTTGACGTGCTGTTGTAGTGTGAGCGAGGTAACATTTATGAAGGGATTCAGGGAAACAGGCAGGCCACACTTGAGTCCTGGAAATGGGAGGTACACTGCTTGCACTCTGAAGGAGGGGTGTTAATGTTGCAGTTTTTTAACTGTAGTGTAAGCACGCCTCTGACAAGACAGTGATGGAGTGAATGATGATGGTGTTTTTTGGGCCACCCTGCCTTAGTGAAATGGCTGATGTGTTAATAATAATAAAAAACATCTCTACCTGAATTATGTAAGTGACGAGATCTTAATGTCAGGCAAATAAACTACTAGGCAACAAGTGGGCAGTATTAAAGTATATGTACTACTAGATCATTAAGTGGGCACTATTCAGGTAAATACACTACAGTATTAGGCTGTCAAGTGGGGACTATTTAAGCGAATATACTGCCTTTTTGGCAACTGGGCATGATATATACTATTGCTGTGTTGACAATTGGGAATTAATAAATACACTATTAACTTGGTGCTATACAAATAAGTATTCTGCCACCAGTAAATATACAGATGTGTGTGCAACTAGGTAATTATATAAATACATTGCCATGTTAGCAACTGGTTATGATGTATATGTATGCATCATATCTCATTAATAAATAGTGCCATAAAACATAATTTGTGTCATATGATCATCCTGGTGCATCTGGCATCACATTTATTTATGTTAAAAAAAACCTGCATATTATAACTGATAACCCAACACAGAGGGAGCTCAGTAACATTTGAATAGTGAAAGGGACAGGAAGGCTATTTGACAACTAAAACATTGGTTTTATTTTATCAAATACGAGTATGTGTATTTACGTTAATCATTACAGTTATATTAGCAGTTTCTTATTTAACATAACCCTTCATTTTATTTATTAACCACAGCAGCAAAAGGTCCCCTGCTTGTATACAAATTTAGGGTTATGTTTAACATCTTGTTTCTCAATAGTAACCATACCAACTCTGTGCTAAATCATCAAACAAGTTGAAAAAACTCTCCCAAATACTATATGACCTCCTGTCTATTAAAACATTAGTTCATACTTCAAATTGTACCGTTTGTACCATTGTTAATTATACTACCTGTAATTTTCTTCATGCCATCATTAATTTTATAAAGTATATAAGTAATTAAATAAATAAAATTTTATTTCTTTGCTAAAGTTACAATGTGTGTTTACATTTCATATTTTGATTGGAACAAAGAAAGTCACTATCATGCCACCGAGGCACTTCGGGCAGACTTAAATACTTATAGACTACTTAAGTCTAGACAGGTGAGGAGTGGTAAAATACAAATTTTCAATATTTTCTCTTTTT